CTCTGCAGATAAAATATTTGTCATTCTATGCTTTCTTCTTTTTTCTTTTTTTAATTTTTTTACTTCAATTCAATTTAATTACCATGTACTGTATCAGTGATTCAGCAGTTGAATACAACATCCAGTGCTCATTACATCAAGTGCCCTCCTTAATGCCCATCACCCACTTACTCGATCCCCCCCCCACACCTCCCCTCCCGCAACCCTCAGTTTGTTCTCTATCACTAGGAGTCTCTTATGGTTTGTCTCCTCTCTATTTTCATCTTATTTTATTTTTCTTTCCCTTCCCCTATGCTCATCTGTTTTGTGTCTTAAATTGCACATATGAGTGAAATCGTATGGTATTTGTCTTTCTTTTACTGACTTATTTCTTTATGATTTTTTTCTAAAAAGGTAATATACTTTTAAAAAACTGAGCAGTAAATTAATTGTGCTTCTCTGCCTCTTCCTTTTCCACCTCCTTTTTCTTCTTTTTATTCCTTAAAGTTTTAATTAAATTCATATACACCTGGTTATTTGGTCTTCCAATTTCTTTATTAAAGGTTACGATTTTTCAAGATTCAGTAGTTAGATGCTACAGTTGTCAGATTTATTATTTCTTTCTCCATTAAACTGTTAGTTTTAGAGGTCTTCCAAAGTGGCGTTTAGTTTTTAATATTATTGCTTGCCTTTGTTTACTTTAATTATGATTACTTTCAACACTTGGTTTATTCTAGAATATGCAATTATCTCATTTCTCAATTTCTCCTATCCTTTTGTCTATTTGTATCGAATCCTCATGACTTAAATAAACTGTAGCTAAGATCAAGAATATCTTGATAGGGTCTCTTTCTCCATAATTGGATATTTCTTAATCAATTCTGTATCACTGATGTGATATGTCTTTGCACAATTTCCCATGAATACACAATTTTGGGGGACGTTTTTCCCGATTTCCTTTTCTTCACTTCATGTATAGTGATCTTGATGTGGTCAGTTAAGATCAGTGCTTGATGACATTAGAGGTGTGTATTTCATTTAAAACCCACTTTGAAAATAAATGTCAGTGTGCGTATTATTCAGCTCTTAAACTGCCCTTTTTATGTCCTCAGATGCTCTAAGACAGAAGTTTTCAAAGTATAGTCTAAGGGTTCCTGGAGGATCCCTGGGACCCCCTTTTAGATGGTCTGTGAGGTCAGAACTATTTTGTCATACTATGAAGGTGTTTCAAGTACAGTGTGTGTCCTGTGATTTTACAGTAGACTGTGCAGAAGCAGATAGGAGAATCCAGCTGTCTTCTATTAAACCAGAAATTAAAGAGATTTGAAAAACTTTAAAACAATAACACAGCACTCATTAATTTTTTTGTTTTAGAAAATACATTTTTATTAGAAAATGTTTGTCAATATGTCATGAATTTGTTTTTTTAATAAATTAATTTTTTTATTTCTCGTTTTTAACTACTAATCATAGTAACTAATGTTAGATGTAACTGATATAAGCAAAAACTCCTGGAGGTTCTCAATATTTTTTTTTTTTTTTTTACTATAAAGGGGTCCTGAGACCAGGACGTTTGAGAACTGGTGCTCTCAAAGTGTGGCTGCTTCTAACAATTGTATCTTTTGGGGGGGAAGACAAAAGATCATATTCCATGTTTTCCTTTTTGCTTGGCTTCCTGCCTTGAGATAATGTAAAAGTTAAAAATACTAACTCTTGGTTAAAGGCAATCAGTGGATCTAAGCAAAAATAAAATACTGACTCCTGCCATTTTGTCAGTCAATACATTTAAATGCCCCCTACCACATGTGTACATGATTATATCTTGACTTTTCATAATCTTTCTACACCAAGTAATTTATAGCAAATGATTCCTGCCTATATTTTTAAAAGCCCATGACCTTCAGTATTTCATTGCTTTATTTTGTTTTTAAATTTGTCCCTCTGTTAGTGCTAGCTCTTAAATCTATTATTTTTTCTAAAATTTTTCTTCTGTTATCTGGTTTAGCTCTCCTCTATGGAGTGCCAAATGGTGTCGTTTTGTTTTGTTTTATTTGATTTGGGCTTAGAACACAAAACTACCATTTCTGTTCAAGAAAGCCAGAACAATATTTAATGAGCGTCTTTGCATAATTAGTACTTTGCTAAACCAATGCTTGTAAGTTTATCTCATTTGTTGTTATTGTGTTGCTATTTTCGGTGTAATTTTCTTCCCAAAGCAATGGAGCTTCTTAATTGAGTTAGATTGGAAGTGGGGGAGATCAGTATTTTCCATTGATCCCAAACTGTAATTCTTAGGTATGTTCCAAAGCAACTATATGAGAAACGCATTTTTGCCTTCAAACTCAGCTTATGCAAGATATAGCATCTTCCTCCTCGGGGGTCTGGTGGGTTTTCACTAAGGCTGAGCATGGCGCTCTGCCTTCCCACCAATCCTCCCCTTCCCATGGCCTTCCCGCTCCTTCATCATTCTCCCCTCCTCTCCTTTGCCGTGTTCTCCTCCCATGCCCACCCTACACAATCAAGCATCTGCTTGGGAGTCATGTAGTGGGCAAGGCTGTGACTCCGCCACCACATGCCTGCGTCTGAATCCCAACTCCAGGTGTCTAGTTGTGACATTGCACACATCTCTGGCCTCTTTATGCTTCAGCTTTCTCATTTGCGAAACAAGCATTAATATGACTTACCTCACAGGGCTGCTACGAAGATTAAATAAGTTGATAGGTACAAGGTGTTGATAGTAGTGCTTGGAATACAGTAAGTGTATAGGGCATTAAGGAGTGAGCTTGTCCATTCCTCTCCTTCATGAATGAAATTTCAAGCCATTTCTGTAGCTTCTCCAGTCACTCTTGGGAAAGGAAGAGACCAAGATTTTAGACTCATTCAACTTTAAACTCCCTCCTTTCCCCAACATGGACCTTAGAGTTCTGTAATTTGTAAATAGAAGGGGATGGGAATACTTGTTATTTTATGCTCTTTCTCTTTATCCACCAACCGATCGTGCTCCTTCTAGGGTTGTTGTGAGGGCGACAGTGAGGAGAGGGGGAGGAGGGGGAGGGTTAGCAAAGGTCTTCCCACACTGGTGCAGTTATGGTCTGGCATCTGTGGTCTCTGGGTGTGTCTGGTGACAAATGCCGATGTTCTTTCCCTGTGGGACACCACTGATGGCTCTACAGAGACCCACTGCAGGGCAGTTCTCTCACTTCAGGTAGTACGTCTCTGAGGAGTCAGTGGTTCCTCAACCGCCGATGCCACCTCCCTCATGTTCTGCTTCCTGTGGTGCTGAGATGAGATGGCATCACCCCAGCACGAAACATTCTTCAGGGAGACTCATGTGTGGTTCCCTTCTGCACAGCCCACATGGAACCTGTGAGAAATGAGCAGCCTTGTTCAGTTCTTCTTCAAGGGCAGCTGAATCTCACTGAAGCCCCCTCTTCTTACTCCCGTTCTAACCACCTCTCGTTTTCACGAGTGAGCTGGGTATCAGTTCCTGTTTCCCCAAATCACTAAGCGAGACATGTCAAGCACCACAAATTATAACCTTGAAGCTGTCCACCTTCTCTTACTTGGCTTGCAGAGAAAGAAGAGACTCCCTCCCTTCCCCTAGGAGATAGGAAAGGAGAAGAACTGAAGTACCCTGGCAATTTTTTCTCTTAACCCAGCAGAAAAATGGGCAAAGGATACAAATGGGCAGTTCACAGAAGAGGAAAACCAAAAAGCAGATACTACACCAGTAAACAGAGAACGACAAATTAAACCAAACCTAAGATACAGTGTTTGCACTGCAGCTCAGCAAAAGTTAAAAGTACGGATTTGGTAAAGATGTTGGGAAAACATAATAAACACACTGTTTGTGTGAGTAAATATCAGTGGAGTTTAAAAATTTTAAATCTACCTTTTGACCCCACCAGACCTGCTTCCAGCTCTTTGTCCTAGAGAAGCACAAGCAAAACCACCCAAATATCCAAGTGCTAGAAGGCTTATTACTGCATTATTAGTAATTTTTAAAAACTTGAATGTCCGTCAAAAAGGGACTAGCAAAATAAATTATGATGCATTCAACAAAATGGACACAAGTGTTAAATAGAATAATCTGTAGTGATTTGTGGGAAAGGTTTCAAAGACATATTGTTAAATGAAAAAACAATGTAAAAAATTAATATTAATCATACATTTATGTAAGAAAATGAAAAAATCAGGAGTATTTCCTTGCATACATATATTCATGTTTGTGAATTCATAGAAAAATATTCAAACCATTTCAAAGTGATGAGTGATTACTTTTGGAGAGGGATCTGAGGCTAGGGGAAGCAGCATCAGGTAAGACTTCCACATTCACAGTGAGAGTATGTTACACGTGTGATAACACAATTTACAAAATAATTTAAAATATAATAAAATGAGTAGAGTTGCTAGGAGCAATCTTTAAGATCATCTCAAATATGCCACTTTATATTGATAGTTGGATTTACTAATCCTCAGAAGAGCCTATGAGAGCATTTAGCATCTTTAAACAATATTTATCATATTAAGGATAGTCCTCTATAATAATTACTCACATCTAAATACCTGTTCGAACAATAATTATTAAGTCTTTGCTATGGTTGTGAGCTTCTAAAATGACACATATAATTATGCTTTATTCAGATAATAAACCAGACAAATTTAAATACACAGAACCTTGACTTTATTATAATGATAGTTAGCGGATTTGAACTTATATGGTAATATGCATAAAGAGAACTGCCAACTAATATTCTCTGAGGAGTAAATATTTTATTTCTAGCAATTGGTTTTATACGCTTTAAACTGCATTTCACTTTTAGGTAACTGTATATAAGCTGTTCTTGAATTATGTGTAGTATAAACTTATTTTCCTATTGTGTTTATTTTTAAATCATATACGTGTGTTGTCAAATTACATAACATAGTAAAGATTATTCTAATTCTGAAAAGATTAAACATAAATGTTGGAACCATAAATACGGTTACTGGAATGTTACTCCATTATGTTCCCTATTTAGTACCTACATGAAAATGGGATTGTCCATCGTGATCTCAAACCAGAGAATCTTCTCTATGCAACTCCAGCCCCAGATGCACCGCTCAAAATCGGTGAGGACATTTCCTGAAGTCTTATGACCCCTTTCCCAGAGCAGAAGAAATTTATTCATTAGAATTTTAAAATATTTTTCCATCCAGTTTTGCCTTCATTTAATTTCCTTGGATATTTTGTGTCTGTAAAGGAATAATGCATTGTTTTGGAAGTCTGAGTTTTTTCCTGATACATTTATCTGGAAGCAGTGCCTAGAAGTTGGTGCTCCAGTTCTGGACACAAAAGATACATAGCTCTTAGAAATGACAGGGACTTCAGTAGGTTGATGGTGTATTTTGTAGATAAGTTTATATAGAAGAAAATCACAGATAACATAACACTTCTTTTTTTTGTTACTTTTTATTCCATAGATTAGTTGGAGCTTAATTTTAGAAATTCAAGGATTTTGACACAAAATGCTTAGTACCTATCAGCGAATTTAGGATCTGAGTCACTTGTTTATATGAACAGAGATAAATTAAGATCCGTATTTCTCAGAGTGCACTCCACAGAACACTGGTTCCTCAGCTGAGCGAACAAGAGTAAATACTCTAATTCCCTTTGCCGGGGGGTGGAGGGGGGGGTGGGGGGGGGGGGGGGGGGGGAGTGGTTTGTGGAAGTGCTGAGTTGGTCAGATAAATTGGGAAATGCCAACTTAAACAAGATTTTTTATTTCTGCAGGACTTTTCAGAACTCTAAAAACACTAATGTGTAAACTGACATCTAAATTAGTGTATTGTGAGGCTTTTCCCAAGCCTTCCTTGACTCTGGGAACCTTGTTTTTTCTCCCAATAAGCATTTTGAAGAACCACAAAGGAACTTTGTGAAATTCCAGTCTACTCAAAGAGTCCTTTAAATCAGCATTTTAGAAAAAAAGCATATTAAATGTTACTTTCCCTGTCTTTTCATTAGCAAGTAATAATAACAGAACTTATTTTATAGGAATTCTCCTTAGCAGAATCTGTGTTAAATCCTCTGAAGGACATTGTTCTTTTCGTGCTGGCCTGTATAATGTTAATCTGATAAGTTCACTGCATTAGAAGTGTTAACACCTTTGAAAATTAAGTTATACATATCATGGAAGAGCCCAGACAACATAATGTGCTTTATGAATGCAAGAACCCAAAGAAAAAATACTGAAGTCCTGTTAGGCAGCCGGGCTTGTTCTTGTAATCACTCCTGAAAGGCGGTGAACAGCAGGGAGACTTCCATTTCCTTTGACATCACTTTCAAAGATTTTATCCCTAAAGAAATTTCTTTAAATGGATGGATAGATACTAATTTAGACAGGAGAGGCTTTCTTTCTAAAGGACTTCCTGCTGCTTTCCCTGATAAGGATCAGCACCTCCGCGGAAATGTGGGTTTATCTTTGAAGTCTAAAATGGCATCAATTCTGCACCTGCCTCTCTTGAAGAATGGCCTTGAACGGTTTCCTGATGTTTCCTGAGTGAGAGAGAAGTAGCCCAGCAAATAGACCATAATGGTAGCAACTTTGGGTAATATTTTACCTAAGTAATATTCTGAGGAATAAATAAAGAAATTTTTGCAAAAAAAAAAAAAGTGTTACATTCCTCATATGAGAGTAAATCCTTATCCATCAGATACACTAAGGAATGACGTTATTTTGAAGCGAATGAACCTTTTGATATTTCTGTTCATGTCTTTGACATTCACAAAAGCCTAATTTTTTTAATTTTGATTTCTCCCTTGGAATGCTAATTCTATATCACTAATTCTATATTGTACTTTAGAGCTACTGTTTCATAAATCTCAGAGTTAACATTAGACAAAATATATCTATTGCAACTGTTACTTCAAGAACAAATAGCTTATTTGCTAGAAGCTGGGAATTATAGAGAAGAGCACAAAATGTATTTGGGAGTCATATTTTTCTCCAATTTAAAGCAAGATTCGAATTACTGTTATTATTATTTTTCAGTTTCTTCTCCCAGGTGACTGGTCCCCTTCTTTATCCAATCATCAGATACAAAAACAAATGAGTCCGTTTTATTTTGAATAGCAGAAGTATTCTGTCATCTTATAAAAGCTGAGAAAAGACTGATTTCATTAAATTTTTCTCTTGTGTTGTTAGCTGATTTCGGACTCTCTAAAATTGTGGAACATCAAGTACTCATGAAGACAGTGTGTGGAACCCCAGGGTACTGCGGTATGCTCTTTAATACTGATGTTTACTTTTATGGTTATTTGAAATCTATTTGTATTTGGTGATCTAATTTTTTCACTCTTAATATCTCTATTTAAAATGCTTACAATGTGGGGGATGCCTGGGTGGCACAGTGGGTTAGGCATCTGACTCTTGATTTCAGCTCAGGTCATGAACTCAGGGTCGTGGGATAGAGCCCCATGTTGGGCTCTGCACACATCAGGGAGCGTGCTTGGGATTCTCCCTCTCCCTTTCCTTCTGCCCCTCCCTCCACTTCTCTCTCTCTCTAAAAACTGAAAACAAATAAATAAATCTTTAAAATGCTTATAGTGTGATGCAAGTCCCATGAGGAAGGCACATATAAATGATACTCAGACCACCTCCTTTTCTGCATGAAAGTTTCAGTGATGTTGGTTTTAGGGCACCCCTCTTAACAGGAAAAGAGGGAGCCCCAGGGGGTAAGGACTGGGTGCTCTGCACCTGTCTTTTGGGCAGTAGCTACTCTTAAACCCACTTAGGAGTAGAAGGACAGTCACCAAGAAAGAGGGCAGGGAAACAGCTTTGTTTCTGGTTGGAAATAGGGCCATGAGCCCTCAGTCACTTTCCTTATTTGCTTTTACTTGGGAGGGTGTGTGAGGAGAGAGTGTGTCATTAATTCAGAGGGCATATAGGACAACAGTGAGAATGGGTTAGTCTCTAGTCCTCATTGACGGCACTCACCTAGCCTTACTAAGACAAGGGCTTCAGGTGGGGTTCTCCACCAGAGTTCCCCAATCTCTAGAGATGGACTGTGTGACATCCTCACATCCAAGAACCACATAACTAACTCATTTTAACAGCTTTTGAATTCATAGAAATCAGACTGCAGAAGGCACAATTAGATATCCACTGAAGCAAATATATGATTAAATTCACAGAATTGTAGTGCTAGAAGAAGCTTTAAAGTTCATTTACTAACATCCTCATTTTGAGTTCCAGAGTATGACTTTTCCAAGATTCCGTATCTAGTTGTTAGTGGGTCACAGATGAGAATCGAGGTAGCCAAGGACCTAAAAACAGATTTATAAAATTCCCTTTTCAAAAAAGCAATATAGATAAAATCAATATAATTTTCCTTCATAGAAATGTTAATCAGTTATTACTTACAGCTTAAAATGTTTTTTTAAAAGATTTTATTTTTAAGTAATTTCTAAACCCAATGTGGGGCTCAAGCTCATGATCCCAAGATCAAGAGTCACATGCTGAGCCAGCTGCCCCTAAAATGTTTTTTATTTTAGTGTTTCAAATCTCAAAGTATTACTTGATCATTGTAAGAAGTAAAAATCCAAGTATATATAATCAGTATTAATTGCCTTATGCATTCTTCATCTTTCTCCATGTTTCTATAGTCACATAAACATTTTATAATTTTGCTTTTAACTAGTTAGCTTCTCTAGTGAATCTAAAATATTATTTCCTTGTAGCTCAACTGCCCATAAGCCCAATAATTACACAGAATTAAGTATGCCTATCTTTCTATTAAATCTTTAAATTGTACCAAATATTCTTGCTCTGGATCTTAAACTCCTTGGCAATAAGAGTAGTTTATCAATTAGGAGAAAATTCAGAAAACTCCAAGTAACTGTTGCTTAAACAAGGTACAAGTTGATTTCTCTCATGTTAGAAGTCTAGAGAAAGGCAATTCTGGTGGTTTCTCCAGCTATGGCTCTGTAGCTCTCAGTGCCAAGGATCCAGACCTTTTCTGTCTGGCTCTAGCATTCTTTAGCATGCATCCTCAGAGTCCAAAATGGCTGCTTGCAATCACTCATTACATCTGCATTCTATGTGACAGGAAGGGGGGAAAAAGAGTATACCTTTTCACGGTTAAATAGACTTGCTAAAGCTCCATGTCACTTCCACTTATATCTTATTGGCCAGTCCTCAGTCACAGCCTCCACACTGCAGGCTGGCAGTGGGGCCTATGGCTGGACATGTTGGTGCCCCAAATGAATTCAGGGTACTTTTACTAAGTATGGGTATCACATTAGACAGCTCACTAGCTCTACCACAGACTTAAAGAGTAGGATTCCCATTCCTAGGAAAAAACCCATTGAACTATGCCATGTTCCCTGTAGGCATCCTCTTGTTTTGTTTTGTTTTGTTTTTATATATTTTCCTTAGAACTGTTAGCTGACAACCCGTCCATGACTCTTTCCTTCTAATGGTGCCATAGATATTTCCCCTTTCTCTAATTCGTAGGTCCTTATTTATCGTCTTCCTGTATTTCTTTCATGCCTTCCTACTTCCAAGGCTGTGAAGGAAAAAAAGAACCTCGAATTTAGTACCACATGCCAGATGGGGTTGCCCATTTGTGAGTACTAACTGCTGACCAATCGATAGAAGCATTGAAAGAGAATTGATAAAAGAATGATAAAACAAAGTAAGGATTTCCCAAAAGAAAAAAGCTGATGGGCAGTTTAGTAATCATTATCTAATAGCAAAAACTTAGTATTCCAAAGAGATAGGTAGGTTGGAACAATTTTCTGAGAATTAGCAGCCTTAAAATGGGAAGTTCAGGAAGAGCTTAAACTAGCATCCTTTCAGTGGCTTTGATAATAGTCCTAAGAGTAGTTCTTTCTTGCAGCATTACAGAATAGTCATTCTATGAGTGAATGATTCATTCATTGATAAAACGAACATTGGCTGTCTAATAGACTCCATGTTAGGCACTGAGATTACAAAAGTGAACACCATATGGTCTTGTCCTTCCAGGATTTCATAGGCTATTAAAGAAGAAATACCCATATACAATAAATCAAAGTTTGTTATGGTAAGTTCTGTATTTGTCTGAGCTAAAGGCTTAAAGATACAGGGAGGAGGGAACAATACATCATCCCCAAAGAGGTTTTTACAGAGGAGGGCATTTGAGCTGTACTCTGAAGTTTGAGTAGGAGTTCAGCAAGTGAAGAAGTAGCCACAAGGTAATCTTTGTAAGCAGGAAAAGGAAGAGAAAAGTCATAGAGGAGTGGTAGCATCTGGCAAGTTCAAGGACTATTGGTTACTTTGTCATTTTACATGACTGCAATATAGAGTCTTTGGTACAGAAGATACAGATGGATTTGGAAAGATAGGATGGACCATATTTTTTTAAATAATCTATAAATCAGGCCAAAGAATTCAGACTTGCTTTGGTAGATAATAGGGATCCAGCAAAGGTTTTTAATCAGGGTAATTATATTTTAAAATCAAATCTGTAGCTTATAGATATCTTGATAATGACATTATGACATGGATTGGAGGGAGAAAAGAGTTCAAAAGAAGACAAATTAGAAAGCTATTATAAATTCTCTTTCCTGTCCTTCTGATGTCAGAAATCTATATACAGGGTGCTGTCACTTCTATAATAGCTTCTCAGAATACTGTATTTGATCTGTTCTACATCCAGTCATTTATTTTTTAACTATAAAATGATTATAAAAATACTATTTCAGACCTTTGTCATTGCCATAAACAGGCCCATCTTACAGATAATGCCATCTAGTAATGGAGGCTTATTTTCCATTTCCTATTTATTTTTCCCTGCAGATACCCACATCACCCTAGAGGCTACGTAATGGGGAAGGAGGGAATTGGTTGATTGAATGTGATCCATATAATCTTTGTGCTGTGCTTTAGGTAGAGTGTCACCAGAAGCAGTAATTTGCTATTTTATAAGAAAAGGCAGAGAAAGCCGAAAGGAAGCCGGAGGTGGAGGGAGGAAGGATTGAGAGGGAAAAATAGAAGTGCTCTGTGGACTCTGAAGTGCTAAATATATGTGTGGAATTACTATTATGTAGGCTGGAATACTTAGGTTGGGAGAAAACTGCCCATCGATAGAATGAGTTGGATATGAGAGCCAAGTGCAAGACTGGTGGGAATCACGGTCATCTTCCAGAAAGCATGACTTACAGAGACTTTACATTTGACTTGAAAAGGTATCTGGAGCCCATATAGTTGATGGAGAGGAAGAGGTGTGAGCTTGTTTCCTTGCTTGTTGTAAGGGTGATTACATCCCAGGTCAGTTATCCTCATGTACACTGGGTCTAGTTTCTACCTTTACTGGAAGGCTTTCCCAGTTACATCTTTTGAGGGAGTGGGTGTTTATATTTTATACCATCTGTCATTTGTCAGGAAATACACAAGTGAAAAGCCACCCATTCAGTTTCATTCATAGAACCTTTGCCCCAGGCTATTAATAACAGAGGGTTCTCCTATAAGTGAATTGCAAAAGAAAAATCACAGATGTTGTGTGTTTAAGTAAATTCCTCATTATTTCCTGGGAAATGTGCCCAGTTGAAAATAAACTCCAGGCCAGAAAATTAAAATCTGTGGTCCAGATAAATGAAATCAATGAGTAGTGCTCGGAAATAACCATGGAGAGATTCTCCACATCTTGTTGTTGGGAAAAGAAATAGGTCTCAAAAAACAAACAAACAAACAAACAAAAAACCCAAAAACAAAAAACAAAAAATCCATTAGGTCATGGCTCCTGATAAATGGGCCACAATGTATACAACCAAAATGTCTTGCCTGGTTTAGCTATTTAAGGCATGAAGTCTGTGTTTGTTCACCCTACCCCATGTCAATCACAGAAAGGAAGAAAAAACTGTTAGAGTAGAAAAGAAAACAGTGTGGTAAAGGGTGAGATAAAAGAGTATTTCTGTCTAATACTAATTTCTAATTCATAAGCTTAGTTAATTAAACTATGTATGTTCATATTTCATAGTTCTACCTGTCTATCCAAATTCTATTTGGAGGGTCTAGAAGCTATTCAGAATTTATTTTCTGTTGGCATTTGCCAGGGTCGCATAAGAGTGATAATCTTATGTTGTTCCCACATTGTTATGTTTTAAAAAAATAACTTATGTTCACTGTACCGAAATTAAAGATAATTTCTCAACAGCCTGGAGTCAGACAGAAGAGATTTCTGTCTACATGAACACACACTAATATGACCAATGTAGGAAAATTTCAGTGAAGTAAAA